AGGCTGTACTCACTCAGAGGGGAGGCTGTACTCCCTCAGAGGGGAGGCTGTACTCACTCGGGGGGAGGCTGTACTCCCTCAGGGGGGAGGCTGTACTCCCTCAGAGGGGAGGCTGTACTCACTCAGGGGGAGGGTGTACTCACTCGGGGATGGTGTACTCACTCGGGGATGGTGTACTCACTCGGGGATGGTGTACTCGGCAGCCTTGATTTTGCGGAAGAGCTCCTGAGGTATGCTGTCGTAGAAGGGGAACTGGCCGTAGAGCATCGTGAACAGCACCACCCCCAGTGCCCACATGTCGCTGGGCTTCCCACGGTACGGCCGACCTGGGGACAAGGGACACACACCCTGCAAACGCTGCAGAGCACAGGCCTGGTGACCCCCTCACCTCCCCACGGCAGGCACCCTGCATGGCCTTCACTGAGCCTTGGGGCTCCCTCATCCCAGGGCACCAAAACTCCCCCCAGGGTGCATCCTCTGAATAAGCAAACTGTCCATCTCCACACAGGTGCCCTCCCATCCTCTGTGCAGCAGGAATGCCCCTGCTGAATGATCCTGACACGATCCAAGGGCATCAGGTAAATCAGAACTGCTGTGACCTGTGCTGGAGTTCCCAGGTCACTGCCCCTCACCATCCCTACAGCCTGGCAGGTTCCACAGATCCACCTGCCTGCAAGTTCAGACCAAGGGAGGGGAAATTCAAGGGCCAGAGAGCACAGGGCAGGGGGAGGCAGGAAAGAAGCCCAGGAAGGATAAGACTGAGCTCATGGTGATGGGCTTTGCCTCTGGGATGGATCCAGCACACAGCCACTGGAGCCAGCCATAAAGTCACGGAGGGCACAGGAAGGTGTTTCCCTGCACAAAAGACATTCCCAAGGCTGCTGCAGCCCCGGGGTTCACCTGATGGAAACGTTGCTTCCAAGCCCCTTCAGTCATAGCAATCAGCCCACAGCAGCACGGACGAGGGTCACCAAACCAAACCCCAGTGCTGCAGCACAGCACAGGACTGAGGGAACGACTTCCTCTGACTCACACAGTGACTCACTGCTGCAGCATTTGGTATTTGTACTAATTATTCTTTGCTTTATATGCTCATAAAAAGGCACCTCTCCCTCCTCCCCCTCCAACTTTTCCTGCTGTGACATTTCAGCAGCCATCCCTCAGAAGAGACAGTTTCTCCTGGAGCCCCACAACAGTGATTAATTCCTCAGGCGTTCCAGCTTCCCCTGCACAGGAGCACCAGCAATACAGAGGATGCTCCGAGCTGGTGGTGATGCCTGGAATGTCCTCAAGTAACTTTTCCCTCAAAGCCTGGAGGGGAACTACAGACTGAGCCATTTTGGGAGAACGTTTTGGAGAGAAGGGTTGATCTCAGACACCAGAGCCAGGGCAGGGCAGCATGGGCCAGGCTGGGCAGTGCAGGATGAGTCCTGAGCTAAGGCTGTGCCTTGCAGGGTCTCAAACAGCCTCAGGTGCCAGCAATCAGCCAAGACAGCCTGTTCAGTGCCCTGTGGCCTCCAGGCAGGCCAGTTCCACCTCCGAGAGTGCCCTTAGAAGAAACGTAGGAGGGGAGCTGGGCTGAAGTGGTGGACACATCAGCGCCCTGGAGCAGGAAGGAGCAGCTCCCTGCAGCCTCCTCCAGCCACTTGAGCCACAACCGCTCCAACCTCCTGCACAGCAGTTGGCTCCTGTCACCCATCTGGTCACAAGGGCCTCAGGATATCCTGCAGAACAGGAAAGGCCTGCAAAAAAGCCAGGATCCAGCACCCCGCCTGCCTCTGCTCCCTTCCTGGCTCAGTCCTGCCCGGGAGGGAAGCACCTCAAACCTGCCTGGCAGATCACAATGGAAGAGCTCAGCTAGTTTGTTCCTGCTGCCTGCAAATAAACCTCCTGAGAGGGGTCCACTGGGGCTGGATGTCCCAGGGCCAGCTCCCTCTGAGGGCCTTTCTGAAATCCAGCCGGAACACCAGGAACAAGGAACTCCTGAGCTAATGCCCAACATCTGGATCTACAGAGGGAGAGGTTTCATATGCACAGTCCCACCTGTACCCTTCAACACTAGGCCAGCTCATTTGGGTAAGAAGAAACCCCCCCCAACCAGGACCACCAGTGGCTGCTCAAAGGCTGGTACAGGAGCAGAGCTCAGAGCTCATGGAAGAGAAACCTCCTGAAGGAACTGAGCAGACAGAAACCACAGCTGTTTCCAACAGCACTGGGAACAGCTAAAGGCAGGAGGACATCAGGGAATGCTGTTCTGTGCCAGACTCAGCTCAAGGCCTCTGCTGGAGACAAGGCACAGGCCAGGCTGCTGGAGAGGGGATCCAGCCCAGACAGACGGCTCTGGCCTGCCCTCATCATTCCTTTATTTTTAAGTAACTCCTCTCTGTCGGCCCAGAAGCTGCCCAGAGGGTCACCAGTTCCTGCTGGAAGTGAGCAGCAGCTGCAGCAACTGCTCCTCTTAGTGCACAACTCAAATACTCTGATATCCTGGTGGGATCTGGACTGGCTGCCCCTTAAGAGAAGCCTCAGAAACAAGATTCAGACGTGGGAAAGCAAATGTCTTGTCTGCAGTCAGACTTATTAGGGAACAGGCAGGAGCTCTGAATTAGCTTTGAAGTTCAGACAAGCCTAAGAAAAAAGTCATGCTCGCTCCTTCCCTCCAACTTTCCCAGCTGGAAAAGCAGATCAAGCCTCCTAACTGGGCCCTGATGAAGGCAGGTACATATGGGGACACAACAGGCGGGTTTATTTATTGTCAGGAGGCACAAATGACTGAAACAAGCGCTGAGCTGGGGCTGGGGGAATTCCTACCACTGAGCACGTCCGGGCTGATGTAGGCAGGGCTCCCACGCTGGTCCTTCAGCAGGTCGTCCTCACTCACCAGGTGCTTCCCCAGGCAGAAGTTGGTGATGGTGATCCGATGAGTCCTGGGGAGAAGCACAAGGTGTCAGGGAACCACACAGCACAGACAGAGGGAGTTAACTCCAGAACAGAGGTGTGTGCCTGGGGGGCTTTTTGGGAAGCTTGAAGTGCTGGGAAAAGACACAGGGAGCTGTAAGATGAACTGCATCCCAAAGGGAAGGGATTCCACACCTGCCAGCACGGCTTGCAAGGCTCTCACAGGGGAATCAGAGGGTCTCTGTTACAGCTATGGCAGTATCCACACCCAGGCTGGGTGGCACATGTAAGCACAGGGTGGTACCTGGCCCACCTTGCAGCCACACAGGTGCCTTGGACAGTCTCCCAGGAGCATCTCAGCCTTTCAGCTACTGATTCTGCCCTGCACTTCCCAACTGCCAACTCCAAAGCATCTTCTTCACACAACACTTTCTGGAACTGAGGGAAAACATGCAGTGGAAGGGCTGCCCCGTGCCTGACCCCCAGGCACTGTGTGTAAACACTGTGTGTTTGTGTCACCAGATGAGCTGCAGGAGCTGTGATCACATTCAGCACAACCCCTTTTGTGTCACCCAACTGTCCCACACAGGAGCCTGGTGGCAGTTCCACGTGATCTGCAGGACTGCTCTCCACACACGGGTGTGCTGAACACAAACCCTGATCAACACCCAAAACCCTCCTACAGAAAAGGCAGAGCTGCAGGGACACAAAATTTCTGTTAGGACACCCCTACTTCTCTACAGTACTGCCAGCTCCCATTAATGAATTTTTCCATTTCTCATTACAAAACTACTGTCACATTAAACCTTCCACGTCACTCAGATAATTTCGATTTTAACTTACAACTCACAGGTGTGAGTAGAAAAACACTGTCTGGAAGATTTCTATATTCTTGAAAAGTATTTCACAACCAGAGCCTGAGAGAATGGATTAAGTCAGTCACAATAACCAAGGAACATTCCCAGCCAGTTTTACAGACAAGTGAAACAGAACCAAGTGTGGGTTGGAAATGGAGAGCTGGTTATTAAAACAGACAGACTGGTGTTTAAGAAGTGTTAGCTACAACTGTCAGGAGACTTCCCTGGCTGAATAACAAGCTGCAGGATTTGTTAAGGATTTAAAAGACTAAGTGTTCTACAGGACACTAAAATGTTCAGGGTTGCTTGGTTTTATCTAGTCCCTGAAATTTGATCTAATCTGTAATCACCCAACTCCTGCACTGCCCAGTGGGGAAATCTGGGAGGCTTTAATGTCTCGTGGAGGACAAGGTCCGAGGGACCCTCAGGTGGGACATGTCAGGACCTTGCAGTGGCACCTTCATGCCCCACCACGAGGAGGGACCTGGCTCCTGGTGAGCTCAGATCTTTGTTCCTGCTCTGGCTGGTCCTCTCCATGGAGATGGTTCTCACGCCTCTCCCACCCTTCCCATGACTCACTGCTGCACAGGCTACAGCCCTCCCTCACCAAAGCTTGTCAGTAAAGAGCAAAAACAGAGATGGAAAGTAAAGAGCAAAAACAGTCACAAGGAATGACTCTGGCCAGTGTGTTGACAGAGCTTCAAATACCTCCCCCTGCCAGCGGTGCCCTGGGTGCTCCCCTGCACTCTGTGCCCACAAAAGAAGGGAAGTTCTGTGGGGACCCTTCAAAGCACCAACCTTTGCCTGCCTCTTCAGCAAGGAGGAGAATCAAAGCAGCAGGCAGGAGAGATTTATCTTACAGCAGCTCTACAGAAACAACTCAGAGGTGGCCTCGAGAGGCAGCAGCTGCTCTGTGTGTAGGGGGGGGACCAAGTTCAAACTGTAGGTAAAACCTGTTTGCTTTCAGTGTTAGGGAGGAGAAGCAGCAAGCTGTGAGCCCAGTGAGCCTGCAGGCTTTGTACAACAGACTCAGAGACTGCAGACCTCCAGCCTTCCAGCTTTTTATTCATTCCACGGAAAACCAGACAGTGTGAAAAGGATGAATTCCACTCATTCCTCAAGTTAGTGCAAAATATTTAGTCAGTAATGTAATACTGGAGGACAGAGCAGAGTGTCTGAGCTGAACTAGGTGCCAGCTAAATAACACAGAACCCAAGACACTGAAGAGCCCCAGGGAGCCAGCAAGCAGGGCCAGGCCATGACCCACTGCCCTGAGCTGCTGCCCCTCTGCACAGCATCCAGCACCCACCAGTGTGTTCCAGTGGAGGCTCCCATCAACCCCCCCTGGACAAGGGAGCTGCCTCAGACACAAACACACACTGCACAGAAGAGCTTTTGTTTAGATAAGTCAATATTTTACTGCTAGCAAAAACACAGCAGTGCAACAGTCAGATCTAACACTGCTGTGATTGTAGGACAGCCTGCAGGGCTGGGAATGCTCTTGGCCCAATGGAGAGGGGATGATGGGAACAGAACCAATCACCACATTCAATTCTTCTTTTTGTAAACATTTATAAAATCAGTACTTCTCTTGCAAATTTCTGAATTACTACAAAATTCAGTTTTCAGCAGTTAGAATCCAAAAGGAAGTGCTGGCAAGGGGTCACTAAGCTGGGGGAAAGAGTGAACTATCTAAGTGGGGCTCAATTCCTTTTTGGAGATAAACTTTGGATGTAACTTTGGGCTGGGTCTGTATTTTTCCCTCACCCTCCTGCATGAGAGGGCTCAACAAGTGCTGCCTTTGACTGTGTTTCTATCAGAAATCTGTTTTGGGGAAGAAACAAGAGCACTGCCAGGACAGCAGCACTCCAGCATTCTTACCTTTTATTTAGCACCATGTTTCCTAGTTTCAAGTCTCTGTGCACAATATTTTTCTGTAAAAAATATAAGAGTATAACATAAGCAAAAGCCTATTTAGAAGTGTAAATTCCATACTCAGACCAGAACACTAAAAAAAAGTCATGGCATCTTCATTCTCAGGAATAACCCAGGTCAAGGCTGCAGGTCGAGTTCCATTCTGGGTACTTTGTGCACTTCACTTTGATTCTGATCAGGACAGAACAAGCAAATTTGCTACTCTAACACAAAGAGCTCTCAGACTGGAGAGATCTGAAGCTGAAGTGTCCAGGCTCAGTGAGGCCACTGTGATGAGCAGCAGCCCCACCCTGTGCTGCCCTGCAGTGCCCCGTGCCACGGGGTAAGAAATCCAACATCCACAGAATCCACTTTTACTGCAACAGTTTCTAGTTCATTGATCTCAAACTTACAGCCTGAGGTTCCGAACCCACAAATCAATTCTTACATTGTGATTTATTTTGCTTCAAAAGGAAACAGCTTGTGTTTCCTGTGTTTGATCAGGCTCTGCTCTCCCCTGGCTGAGGTTACCACACTGTGGTTCCCCTGCCCTGCCCTCAGCTGGCCCCTCTCCACAGCCCACAGACACCACCTGATCATCCAGAAACGTGAGGAGCAGGGAGGGAAGGGAAGGGAATGCTCTTTAGGGCTCGGGGCAGGAGGTTTTGTACAGAACACTGCCAACATCCATCTCCTGTAACCTGGCCACTGCCTGCACCAGGAAGTTTGAAAGCACCTATTATGCTAATGTGGGAAAACTCAGCCTCCCAGCACTGGAGGGGTAAGGAAGCTCTCACCTTGTGTAATGCTTCTACCACTCGTACCACGTCATAAAATATCACCACTGTCTCCCGCTCGCTGAGTCTCTTCTCTTTAATGACATAATGCTGCAGATTGATCAGATCTGCTGTTTTGTCACTGAAATCGTGAGCACAGAGACAGTCCAGCACCAGGCAAATGCGCTTCTTCATCTTCCTCACCATCCTGTTGGCTTCCAGATCTTCTATAATTTCACAGGCCCGGTCCTGCAGGGAGGCAAACACAGCAGCAACCCTTCAGGGCAGCCTCAGGGCAGGGGTACAGAGCTGGGAGAGCAAACAGCTGCAGGGCCATCTCAAAATAAGCAAATGCAATCACAGTGCTTGGTCTGTGCCCCGAGGTGGGATTTCAGAAAGATACAGGAGCTCTACTTCATGAATCCCACAGAATCACAGACTGGTTGGAAGGCACATTAAAGTTCATCCAGTCCCACCCCTGCCATGGGCAGGGACACCTTCCACTAGCCCAGGTCACTCCAAGCCCCATCCAACCTGGCCTTGGACACTTCCAGGGATGGGGTAGCCACAGCTTCCCTGGGCAACCTGGGCCAGGGCCTCACAACCTTCACAGGGAGGATTTTTTCCTCACAGGAGAAAAGAGGGCAGAGGAAGTCTGTGCTGTCTGGCTCTGTGCCACGTCAGTGCTGATGCTGTTCATACACACAGACCCCTTGAGCTGAGCCCAGGGAAGCCCTGCAGCAGAGCAGCCTCTGGGAACAGCAGGGATCCAACACACTGCTCACGAGAAGAACAGAAATTTTCAGACACAATTAGCAGTTCTTCCATGACATTAAACAAGACACAGTTGAGTTGGACATTCAGCTTATTTCAGACCTAGTACAGATGGTCTCAAGTGAAAAGCATGTTGACAAAATGTAACCAGCAAGTCAGGCAATACCAGCCATCAAACCAGTAACTCCCATCAGCCCCTCACATCAGTGAACAGCTCTGAAGGGATCAACAGCAACACAGTCCACTCACACAAAAACTGACCAGCACAGTGACCAGTTTAACTGGCTGAAACAGTTTCTTGGCTATTTGTCCCCTTATTAGAAGTCATCATAATCAGTATAAAGAACAGAAAGTACAAATTTAATTTTAAAAGTTGTTAATTAATTTGCCATTGAAGCAGCTGTTGTCCTGTTTGAAGGGGACAGTGCTGAACGCCTGTCCCACTTGTGAATGTTCTCACATTTCCCAAATCCCAAACTCTGTTACATCCCACTGAGCTCTGCAGAGCCCCTGTTTGAAGCAGCAGTGGTTAATCTCAGAGTGCTGGAACTCTGGACACACAAGAACGGGGTCAGCACAAACAGTACATTAAACAAAAGCAGCTCAATCCACCAGCAATCCCTGGCATTGCCCCAGCCTGGACGGTGAGCAGTGTACCTGGAAGAGCCCGTGATGATGGACCACTCCTTCCTGGTTGTGGAGCAGGGAAAGGAGAGAATACTCCGTGTGCAGCAGCATCTTGCCCTGTCGCTCCTCCTGGGTTTCTATTCCTTTATCACCCCTTTCTTCTAAGGTGAGAATCTTCAGGAAAAGGGAAAAGATCTTTATGGCTCTCAGAAAAACCCACACGTTCCCTGCCCTCTCTGAGTTTTGGCATCCCCATGTGTTTAAACAGCTGATGGAATTGCTCTCGTGGATGTGTCCTTGCCACAGACCTGGCTGAACCCAGCACCCTCCATGCAGAACGTGCAGAAGCAGCTTCACAACCACAGAAAAGGGGCTCAGGTGGCTGTTTGCAAACATGCCAGGTGATTTTTCCCTCCTGGAGCTGCCCTATTCCAGGCACAGATCCAAGGGAGAGCAGCAGAGGCCCTGTCTCAGGGCTGATGTGGACACAGATGTGTGCCTGGCAGCGCTGCCCTGCCGAGGGGCAGCTCCAGCAGCCGTGTCTGACTGCACTGGCTCAGCCCACACCACTCCCTGCACGGGGCTGAGGAGCCCTGGGGATCCGGGAGCTGCAGTTTGCTTACCTTCAGCTGATAAAAGTCATCTGTCCCGTCCTTTCTTGCCAAACACTGAACAATACTTGGCACAGGGGAGTTACCTAAACGTGGACCTACAGCAGAAAGCAGAGACAGACTTGTTTTCCCTCCAGCAGCAGTGACTAACCCGGGTTACATCAGCGTCACGCTACGTTTGCTGCAACCAAGTTCCCTTTTCGCAGGGGCCTGAAAGCGTTTCCACAAATTGAAAGCTAAAAAACCCCAAAGGTCTTAAACTCTGAAACCTTTCAGGACAATGTTTCATTTGTTCCCTTGAGAAACATTTATCAAAGCCCAACCGTGGCCCAGCTGCCTGCAGAAGCCCTCATTTCTGCATGTCTGAACCACACAGCAACACCCATGGCAACTGCTCCTGCCACACCTGGGAACCAGCTGCCACCTCTGCAGGGACGGCTCACGAGTGCCCAAATTTGCCCAAATTTCAAGTTATCAGAGAGTCTCCACTCCTCAGTTTAAATCAATCAGCTCCAACTGATCATCCATTAGTTTCCACGGTACAGTCTACCATATTTGACAGCTTATAGAACTAGTTCTGAACCAACAACTATTCTAGTAACTCTTCAGAGCTGGCAGAGAGGCCTTGCCTTGGCACATACCACTTCTAGTGGCCACTAGTGCAGTATTACATTGCCCCTGTGCTGATGTGACAGCACATTCCAGGCCAGCAGGGTCAAACATCTTCCCAGACCCCTAATCAAAAAGCCCCCAGATGAATTTGCTCATTAACAAAGTTTAAGAATGTAGTTAAAAAAAAAAAAAAAAAGAGGTAAAAACGAGGGCTCATATTTCTCTCCAAAGCTCTGCCTGCCTTGCTGCACTGGCATCCCACACCTCCTCAGCTCACCCCAGGTTGCTCTGCACATCCACTGACCCGCGCTCTTGGGTAAGACACCGAGTTCCACACCTGCTTTCCCTCATTCCACGGTGCCTTTTATTCTCAGTTTTGCCACCAGCAGCTCCCCTGACAAGTGCAAATCCCCCGTCCCTGCTTACCCAGGATGAAAGGACCTGCTCTCTTGGCGTTATTCCCAGAAATCCCCGCGCACAGAGCCTTTGCCTTGGCGGATGTTTCCCCAGCTCCTCTGTCCGATGCTCGCCGCTTCATCCTCGGCTCTTGAAAGGGAAGAGAGACCACGTCCCATGAGCCACTGAGTTACTCCCTCCTGCTAGCCCTCGTCTGTACTGGAAGGCTCTCACCCACGGGAGCACTGGAGGCTCTGCCCACTCCTGTGTCTACACAGGGCTCTGGCAGAGCAGGGGTGGGCTGGAGGCTCCCAGCGTTTCTCCAGGCATAAATCAGCCTCGTTATTCAGAGCAACATTTCTTACAACAGTTGTTTGAGAGACATAGTGGGAACAAGTCAAGATAATTAAGGCTTGTTTTACAGCAAAAACGAGTTTGCAAATTAACATATTCCAAAAACCTCGGAAAGAAGGTGCCCAAGTTATCCCTGTGTATGGGTGGCTGCTGCTGCTGCCCGGGGGCTTTCGGGGGATCCTCCATGGGGGATCCCCACCAGGCATCACAGTCACCCACCAAGTCCCTCAGAGGCTCGAGTCTGTTCCTCAAACAGCTAAGAATGCACAAAACTGATCATAAAAATTAATATTTTTCACCTTTCCCAACAAGGGCATAGAAAATAAACATGCTAGTTATCCTGAGATTCAATTAAATTCTCAATGACTTTTCAAAAATTTATTTTTAGCCTTGAAAAAAGTCCCCTCTCTTTTTGCACCTCTTTAGGATCCGACCTTGTTACATCTCCATCTACCTACATCCAATGCAGCTGAAATTTGGAGTCCAGCATGCACCAGCTCCAGCCAACAGCAGCTTTGTTCCCAGCACACCACCTCTTCACCTTTAGCTCTCAGAAAACAGCTTCAAAGACTTTCACAAACATCATCACATTCAATGTTTGTGCTCTGACTTTTTAAAGATATTTTGGGGGGTGGGTGTGAAGAGGAACCAAGCACAGCTCCATTTCCTCACTCAAACCAAACCCTGGGAGTTTTTCCCTAAGAGGTTACTACAGTAGAGTGGAAAACATTTTTTGTGCTGCCCTTATCTGTTTTAAACGAGCCACAGTGTTTCACCAGGCAAGAGAGTGACAAAGGACTGGATGTGAGAGCAGTTCCCCCTCTGGCAGCCCCGCCCCTCCCGTGGACACAGCTGATGTCACTGCATTGATTCATCCAGCAGTACCTGTCCCCAGGAGCAGGGACAGCCGGGGAGATAAGGGGAGGAGTCCTGCAGCAGACTTTGCATCCCTGCACTCCCAACTCCCACTGCCCTCTCACCTCAGCAGAGCACTGCCACCAGGCCCAGAGAGCTGCACAGAGCCCTGAGCCCCACGGCTCCTTGTTCCCTTCACATCCCCGGCCCAACATCTGACTGTGCCTCACAAACCCCTCCCCTCCTTGTACATCGTCATCTCTGCTGGAAACATGTGAGTAACATTTCCACTGGAGAAACCCCCCCGCACAGGAACTCTGGGATAAACCCGTTGTGCAATCGGGTTGGACAGCTCGCTGGTGCAACGGAGTTACTGTAAACAGGGACTCACGTAGTTCAGCATCAACTGTATCCTTACTCTTCCTCCAAACTAGGTTTTCCAACGTCTCAGGAGACAGGAGTCATCACCCTGGAGAAGGCTGGATGGGCAAAAGGTCGAGGACTCTGTAACATGAAACAAGAGGCACTTGATGCTGTGGTTCTGGATTATTCTGACCACAATTATGCATTTGGGATGAAGCTGGAGACCTGGCCCAGGGGGTTCTGTCACACTCTGTTCCCTCTCTGTGCAGCCTTCACAGGGAATCACATGAGCAACATCAGGCTGCACCTTTTCCCACCCAAATACCACACTGGGCAGTCCTTATCAGCGAGGATTAACCCAAGTTCACATTTAAGCCTGGCTCACGGCAAATCCCAGCTCGTGGGAAGCCGTGTTGGACATGACCAAAACCCTCCATGAACACAACATTCAACGGAGCTTCCTGCATGGGAAGGCAGGTCCCAGTGTTGCCTCACTCCTTCCCGGGCCAACCTGGCCAGGGACAGCTCAGACCCGAGTCATCAGCACTCCCAGGGACAGAGCCTGGGCTCCCATTGGAAAGGCTTCCCTGGGAGCAGGCGGAGCTTGGATCAGGCAGGCCTGCGGAGGAGTCGCTGGCTGGGGTATTACAGGGAATGTTTGCAGGGCACATCCCAAGGAAAGCAGGCTGTTGCATTAAGTGTATGAAATTTGGCCAAAACTACACCCCTTGTGTCCCAGCTGGTCCTTGGAGACCAGGATCATCCCACCCTGGGAGCAGGGAGAGGAAGTCTCCCACCGACTGTCTCCAAGGGCTTTTGGCTCTTCCTCCTCACCAGGGGAAATTTCTGGCCCCCTCATACACAGCCCAACCTTCTTCTCCTCCTCCTGCAATGCCACATACAGCACGATCTACGTGGGGAGTTGAGTAAGAGAGTCATATGTGGTAGCATGTACTTCATTAAGCTTATTAGCATATGCAGGGTGTGCTTTTTAATATAAAAATGACCCTTAATCAGGCAAAAGTTACTTTTTGGCTATAGTGTCCTTCAAAGTTTCAGTCATAGGACTTTGTTTTGTTCTTCAGTGCCAAACCAAGCCCATCCTGTCTGCACTGTCCCTCCTCCCATGGCCAGCTCAGCCTTCCCGACACAATTCCATCCCCAGAGATAACGTGCAATGCACCGGGGAAGCCTCGGCCCTCCCCTGGCTCATTATCCCACAGGGGCCGGGGTGGGCTCTGCTCCCCTCCCTCTGCACAGCACCAGGGGAGATTCCCTGTGCAGGAATGTTACCATTACTGGGGGCTCTGGAAGCTGAACCGTTCTCTGAGAGAAATAAACATATGTGTGTGTATATATATCTCTCTCCCTATAAAAAAAGCCCATTGTGTGAGTCAGTGCAGCCTGTGTTCCGCTGCGCTGCCCTTCCGGGAAGGGAAGCCTGCTCCCGAAACGGAGCCCTGACTCACAGGGTTCTTGGAACTGCACGGACACTCATTCAACTTCTTCCCCGAGCGAGAAGTTCGCTCGAAACCAGGCACAGAATCTGTCTGACCAGAGAAGGAAAAATGCCAGGGCACTGGGCAGCACGAGGGGCTGGGGCACCCCTGTGCCGCTGGAAGGCACCCGGGAAAGCAAGGACAGGCTGAGCTTTGTGAGCTGGGAGACAGGAACAGCCCTGGCAGCCCCCGCTGAACCCCCCCACCAGAAAGACTCCTTCCTCAGCCAACCTGCCCATCAGCTGAGTCCCGGGCACGTGAGCAAGGCACAGCCAGCACCTGGGAGTACAGGAGCCCAGCACACCTTACCTCCACCCACAGCCAGCTGTGGACAGTCTCCAGCTCCTCAGGGACAAAAAAGGCTTCCACAGTCCAAGTCACACATCAGGGAAAGCACATTCCAGCCCGGCCCCCCCGTAGGCAGCCGGGGAAACTCTGAAGCACAGGGTTCCAGTACGTAATTTCAGCGCAAGCAACAAGCTGGGCTTTCTTCAAGCCCTTCTGATGCATCACCACATGAGATAGCCAAGGACTCATCTCTGGGAGTTCCCTCTTTGGTTACATAAACACCAACCTCAGCTTAACCCTTTCAAGCTGAAGCGCAGGCCACATTCCCCGGGAAAAATCCCTGCTCCAGCCCAACACCCTCCCAGCAGGAGCCTGGAAATGCAGCTGCAGCACCCGAGGCTGAGCTGCTGCCCCAGCGCAGTCCCCAACCAGGGACTGCTCCCGTGGCCAGGCTGTGCTCACCCTTCAGACCCCAGGAGGAGAGGGGTGTGGTGTATCCCGAGGTTTTGCTTCTCCTTTATTGGCCCTGTCACCGCTGACGTGCCACAAGCCCCCGCAGCAGGAGAGCAGGAGCTCTGTGCCCAGCGCGGCGTGACCCGCACACGTGCTGACACTTCCCAGCCAGGTGTGGCCCCGGTTTCTCCCAGCAGTGACTCACCTGGCCCTGGCTGGAGAGGAATGGATTGAAGTTCCCTGCACACGGTGCCAGGCCGGCGTTGCTGGGGTTTGCAGTGTGACAACACACCGACAGGTTCACCAAAAAACACCGACCCAAGACAGGCGTTTCACGCAGAAAATGACCACGGGCACACAGAGCTTCCTCTGTCCAGCAGGAGCTTCCAGCTGGAGCTCCCGGGCAGGAGGGAGGCACAGATGTACAGCCAGGATATCTGCACTGATAATACCCCCCTTATTCCACCTGAGCAGGCTGGGCAGCTCAGGCACCAGTCGTAGGCTGACTCTAATCCCAGGATGGTCTGAGTTGGAAGGGAGCTTAAAGACCATCCCATTCCACCCCCTACCATGGGCAGGGACACCTTCCACTAGACCAGGTTGCTCCAAGCCCCGTCCAACCTGGCCTTGGACACTTCCAGGGATGTGGCACCCACAGTTTCTCTGAGCAATCTGTGCCAGAGGGCCTCGTCACCCTCACAGGGAGGAATTTCTTCCCGATACCTAATCTAAACATACTTTCTGTCAGTGGGAAGCCATGCCTCCTTGTCCTGTCACTCCAGACCCTTGTAAATAGTCTCTCTCCATCTTTCTTGTCAGCTCATTCAGACACTGGAAGGCCACAGTTAGTTCACCCTAAAGCTTCTCCAGGCTGAGCAGTCTCACCTCTCCCAGCCTTTCCTCTCAGCAGAGCTTCTCCAGCCCTCTGATCACCTTGGTGCCTCCTCTGCACTAACTCCAGCAGCTCCATGTCCTTCCTGTGCTGAATCACAGCACAGCTCGGTGCCTACAAGGCTTCCCCTGCCTGCTCTAAGGAGACAATTCCGTAACACCCTGAGGATCAAACCCAGCTGAACTCTGCTCTTAAGGGACACGATGCCGTGACCAAACCCTCAGCACAGACACCACAGAGGAACAACCAAAGGATGCAGCGCGAGCCCCCAGCACACCTGCACTCAGCAGGGTGTGTGAAACCCACACCTCAAGGCTCTCAAAGGCTCTGCAAACTACCAAAGCACTGAACCCCCAACACCAGTGCAGCACATCCCCCCACAGCCAGGCCAGGGCGGGACACCGGGAGCCCCAACCCCTCCTGTCGGGGGGAAGGTGCCATCCCACAGGCTCTCCCCCGCCAGGGAGAGCCTGAACACCCTCAGGGCCGGCACCGGCGAGAGCAGGGACCAGCACCGGGCTCTGGGTGGGGGAGATCGCTCAGCCCCCGGGGGAGCTCCCACGGGGAGCAGGTTCAGCCCCCCGGGGCAGGTTCCCATTCCCCTCCTTCACTCCCCCATGGCCCCACTCCCGTTGTTCCCATTCCCATTCCCGTTCCCACTCCCCTCACTGCCCCATGGCCCCGTTCCCGTTGTTCCCACTCCCCTCACTGCCCCATGGCCCCGTTCCCGTTGTTCCCACTCCCCTCACTGCCCCATGGCCCCGTTCCCGTTGTTCCCACTCCCCTCACTCACCCATGGCCCCGTTCCCGTTGTTCCCACTCCCCTCACTCACCCATGGCCCCGTTCCCGTTGTTCCCGTTGTTCCCACTCCCCTCACTCACCCATGGCCCCGTTCCCGTTGTTCCCGTTGTTCCCACTCCCCTCACTCACCCATGGCCCCGTTCCCGTTGTTCCCACTCCCCTCACTCACCCATGGCCCCGTTCCCGTTGTTCCCGTTGTTCCCACTCCCCTCACTCACCCATGGCCCCGGGCCCGGCCCGGCCCGGCCTCGCTCCGCTCCGGGCCCGCCTGGCACCGGAAGTGACGCCACCTCCCCGTCCCAGCCCGCCCCCTGCCGGCCGCAGCCGGGCCGAGGCAGCGCCAGCGCTGATTGGCCGGCGGGGGCGGTGCGGGCTGTGATTGGACAGAGAGTGAGGGCCAGGCCGGAGCTTTGCGGTGGGCTCTGATTGGTTGAGGTGCCTTCAGGAGAGAGAAGGGAGTAGCGAAGGCCGATTGGCTGCGGCGCGAAGAGCCCATCGCTGATTGGCTGCGACGGGACGAGCCTGTCGCTGATTGGCGCAGGGTGCTGGTGGGCACGCGGGAGATTCGAACGCGCGCTGATTGGCGGAGGGGCGGGGCCTGACGCGCTGACCACGCCCACATAGCCCCCCCTCAACCGGGACCCCTGGAATGGGGACTCCTGAATGGGGAACCCCCCCACACTGAGGCACCCTGGGTTGGAACCCCCATGGGCAGGGAAAGGCCGAGCTGGGGGTAGCAGCGGGACGGCAGCTCTGGCCAAAGGGTCTTTTGGCCCATCAGAGGAGGGACACGAGCAGAGAGAGACCACGGAGCCTTTTAAACAGTTATTTGGGCTTATTCATTACAAAAACCATCCCTGCTCCTCCACAGGCACCGGCCCTGGGAGCAGCAGAGCACAGAGTCCCTGGGGGTGAAGTCCTTGGGCAGGATGTCTGGTGTGGCAGTCCATCAAAGGGGCAGGTTCATCCCGGGTCCATCCTTGCCCTTTCACCTCACTTGTCCTTGGCCTGAGGGAACTCCCTGCGCCCCTTGTCACGGCCCCCGAAGAAGCGCACCCTGTGGATGGCCTGGAGCTGCTCCTCGATGGTGGCCCTGATGTCCACGTCGTCGGGGATGTGCACGTAGCGCACGTTCCTGCCGGTGACGAAGAGCTCATCCAGGTGGGACACGGCGCCGTGCCGGTCCGTCAGGGTCACCTCGGCCAGGCGCACGTTCATGAAGGCGTCCACGCTGGTGACGAGCCCCGCGGCCGCGCTCTCGTCACGCAGCTCCACCGTGGTGACGCGGCCCCGCAGCCCCTGCAGCAGGATCACCAGGCTGTTCTCGGCGATGGTGCGCTCCTTCACCGAGTGGCTCACCTCCATGGCGGCTGGGGGGACAGGGCTGCGGACAGGGATGAGGGATGGGGACACAGCTGGGGGGACAAGGCTGCGCTGGGACAGGGCTGAGGGAAGGGAACAAGGCACACTGCGCCTCCACACCCACCCGTCACACCCACACCTGTACATGTACCACCCCTTTCACGCTCACCTGCATTCCTACACCCCTTGCACTCGCTCAAACTCTCACGTGCACACACACCACCCCTCTCACGTTCATCTCCACAGGTACCACCCCTCGCCCTCTCCTCTGCCCTCTCACCTACACTCACCCCTCTTCTCGCCCGCTGCCCCCCTCCCCAGCCACCCCCATTCTCCCTGCCCCCCCCGTTGCACACTGGGCTCCTCCGCGTCCCCCCCCGCACCCTCACCTGCGCGCACACACACACACACACACACACACACACACACACACGCACACACGCGCACACACACACGCGCACACACACACGCGCGCACACACGCGCGCGCACACACGCGCGCGCACACACGCGCGCACACACGCACACACACGCACACACACAGGCACACACACAGGCACACACACGCACACACATACGCACACACGCACGCGCGCACACACATACACGCGCACACACACGCACACACCAACACGCACACACCAACACACACACACACGCACAGTCCTCCCCGGTCACCCCCATTCTCTCCGTGCCCCCCCCATCCCGTTACACCGGGGGGGTCCCGCGTCTCCCCCGCGCGCACTCACGCGCCCCTTCCCGCGCGCTCGCTCACGACGCCCCGCCCCCCTGCGCACGCGCGGCCCCGCCCCGTGCCAGGAAGGGGCGGGGCCAACACCGCCCCGCCCCGCCCGGTGCTCCGGGGCTGTCCCGGTGTGTCCCGCGGCTGTCCCGCTGTGTCCCGGTCACAGCCCGTCCATCAGTGCCAGCAGGTCCTCGCCCTTCTCGGCGCTGCCCGGGCGCGGCTCCGCCACCTCCAGCTCGCCCAGGATGCGGGACAGCTCCGCCCGCCGGCCCGGCTCCTGCGGGAGACACACCGCGCTCAGCCCCCACCGGGACCGGGACGGCCCCCCGGCCCCCCAGCCTGCCCTGATGTTTGTCACGATTCCAGTTCTCTTAGTAAATAATCACCAGTTCCACCGGCCTGGCAGAAAATCGGCCATTAGTTACTCAGTGTACCTTACTTAACATTACTTAAGTGAAATGGGAAAAAATGTATTTTTAAGTCACTATTCTGGGTGAAATTCAGCTCTTGGCAAGGAAGGAGTGGTGAGAACCAGAGGTGAGAAACACAAAACGTACCTGTGTGGCTTCGATGTTGATGACCTTGTAGGACAAGTCCTCTGGTCGGGTCTGTGCAGCGTGTCTGGATGGAAAACATGAAAAGGGGGGTTAATCCCATGAAGACATACAAGGCAGTGATAAAAATCAGGTTTCATGAGGCTCCTGTAGGTCCACAGGATGCCCAGAGGAAGCCTACAGAGCCAGGCTGGACAGGGCTTGCAGCCACCTGGTCCAGTGGAAGGTGTCCCTGCCCATGGCAGGAGTGGAAATAAAGGATCCTCAAGGTCCCTCCCAGCCCAAACTATCCTGGGATTCTATGAAGTTTGGACAATGACCCTCATCCTACTTGTCAAATTAATGTATCGACCCCAATTTGGAGGCTTTTCCCTGTCCTACATTTTTCTGTTAAGTGCAGAAGAGAGGGAATATCTCTGTAGTTGAGATTCAAAGCAGGTAGGAACATCCTGCTCGAAGGGCTGG